GGAAGCGGCTGCCCCGCGCTCCAGAGCAGAGGCGCCTCAGGGCTGAGGCGCAGGGCAGCCGCTTCCCTCCAGAGGCTGTTCGAGAGGCGTGAAATATGTCTGAACCTCGCTTATTTTATAAGGAGAACAGGGTAGCCACCGCTTGGGGAGGGAGAAGCGGCCACCGAGGGGCGAAATGACCCCAGATCCTCCCTGCTGCGGCGCGACGCCGTGACCCCTCGGGCCGGTCTCCTCACGCCGTTCCCGTCGGCGACGGCCCGTCATGTCCTGCACATCCAGATTTGAGGGTGGTTCTCTGAAGCCACGTGTTTTATTTAGTTTGGCAGCAGGCTAGTATGAGGGTTGGTGCTCAGGTCGGGTTATAACGGCATGGTTTTCAGTGGTGGGTGCGTGTAATTATAACTACTCGGTCAACTGTCACAGGGACCCGACGTGGGTTTAGTAATACCCTCAGTCGAGCACGTTTTTGTTTACTAGCGTTTGGTAGCGATTTTGATTGTTTGTGTGTTTTTTAAGTGATGTATTAAATGCAATCTGATGAGGTGTGACTGTAAGTTATGGCTAAAGAGTACCTGAGTACAGATTTGTAGGTAAGCATGTGCCTTCTGACATTACTTTCCTCCATTTTGAGAGATTTACACTTTTGTGCCCTAGCCTAAAAAATACAATAAATTATTTTAACAAACTCTATTACTGCCCCTTCTGCCTTTATCTGGGTCTCACTGTAAATGTCACCAGATGTTCCTCTCATTGCAGCTTCTTTCATGCACTCCCAACTTCACTTCTGTCTAAATCAAGACTGTCTACCACAAAGTCCCTTGTGAACTTGATTCTATTTTTTCCCTTGGAAATATAAATTAGAAGTGTGAAGGATATGGTGGCATGTTATTTTTTAGTTGCTAGCACAGTGCCCTAACTTTAAAGTGACTTGGTTTAAAATCTGGGGTAGTATTACTGAGGTGGATATATCTAGGATTGGTACTTCAGGAAAGTTTGAGACATTGTAACTATCTGTTTGTGAGATTATCATAGATCTTTCCCTCATTTAATGGTCATAATCTTATCAGAATTTGTCTAAACATGTGGATAGTATCTGTATTTGCTGAACATCTCTCTCGTGCAGTTGTGTCACAGGTGTGTATAGACAGGACTTACTGCCATCACTGATATACCATCAAGTGAATAATTGACATAGTAACTTCTCTTTCATACTTTTTTACATGATAAACACACCTTCTCCTTTTTTAAAAAAATGGATATTACAGCCAGTTCTATTTAATCAAAGGTTTATGTTTTGTTTTATAGTGCTAAGGATGGTGTGTTTGTCTATGTGAGCACAAAAGACTGAGTTGGACAGATTAGATCTTTACATTGGGAATGGCTTTTGTTGCAAGGGCTTCCTGTCTGCTAACTGTATGTATGGCAGGGAAGTGATTCTTCTCTCACCAGAAACAAGAAAAACACATACTAGGCAAACTCTAAGCCTTTCCCACTTAAATCTGTACATTGTGAGGAATAGGCATTTCTGGGACTTACAACCTTTGCTCTGTTGGTGCTTAACTCCCTGAAGACTTTTGTGCTGTTTGCCTGTGTAGGGCAATCTTGACTCTTACCCGGAGGGCCAATGATTGTGTTCAGAAATAGGTTTACAGCTTGTATATGTGAATAGTCAAAGTATATATGTAAAGTTATGTTACAACAAGAGCTGTTTCATGCACTCAAGAGAACGGCAGAAGACAGAGGCAAGAACGCTAGAAAACATAGTGAGCTTTTAGCAGTTTGGTATTTCATAGTGGTTATTAACCCGCTTGCAGGTTCACCCCAGGTTGAACAAATGACAGGTCAGCTGCTGTCCTGCTCAGTGGGAGAGAGGGGATCTTGGCGGGTAGTTCCTCTTTCCCTTCTCTTAAAGGAGGGCCACCCTGCAATGTGGTGTTAGTACTTTGCTAACTGCATGTTAAACTTCATTAGCTCCTTTGGTACATGACTGAACTGTGATAGGCCTTATCAGAATATATATTTTTGGTGAGACAATGAAGTGATCCTAGTTTCAGGTCACTCTGTCCTGGTTTCCTATCAAAGCTTTCTACCTCAATGGCAGTGTCATTGCAGTAAAAAAAATCTTACACATATCAGCAAAAAGATTCCTCACAGCTGCAACGATCAGCAAAAAAAGTTTAAGACTTGCATTGCACAAGGGTGAGTGATGAGGAAATCCATGTGTTAAGCTTGTGTGAAGGCGTAAGCTTGCATTAGCCGTAGCAGTCCTGTGGCAAGATTTTGGCAGCATTAGAGATGGTTCTAACAGTGTTTTTAGCTGAAGTATTACAGGACTGTTGTATGTTAGAAAATATATACTATTCAGCTCTGGTTCTTCTCTTCCAAGCCTGTCTTCTGTTCCCACAGAAGTAATGGTCTTGTGACAGAATCATGGTTTTTAATTATGTGTTTTTTTTCTCTATATTGCCAATCTTGACACAGCTTCAGTTTTCTCTAGTCTCTGCTCTCCCTCTTTCTTTGTAGGTTTGTTTTTTTTTTCAGTTGGTGAAAGCTGCTGAGTTTAGTTCCAGTTAAGATTAAGTGAAGTGCTTGTAGAAAAAAACCTGCCGATAGTTTTGTTTCTGTCAGAGGTGGTGTAATAAGGCATGGGACTCAGGCAAGTAAACAACTCCTGCCTTGAAGGCTTTAAGGGTATAAAACAAGGTTAGAGAAGAGAATGAAATGCCAAATCTTGAGTGAGCTGTTTCATATATCTTCATGCAAATTCTAGTTGTCAGCAAATACTGAATTTGGGAATAACAAAAGCTGACTCAGAGAGGAAGAGAGAGTATTGGGGGACAAAACAAGCTAGGTTGTTCTTTACTGGGTAGAGTAGGGCGAGAAACAGTCAAGGTCATTAGTAACAAAATTGTATAGAACTGCAGTCATGTGCTGCTAATTGAGGTGGGGCATTTGAACAGTGACAGGGTCTGTAGTTACAGGTAATTAAATGTACCTCTGAACCTCAGACCATGAGGTAAATCATGGTGACTCTTAGTGCAAACTGCGAATGTGTGAACACATCAGATTTGATTTGAATGATTCAATTGATTTGAACCAAATCAAATCATGAAAGTGACAGTGTTCAAAGTAATGTTTATGCTTCCAAACAAGTTGTACTTTGAAAGGTGTTCCAGGAAGAAAGGGGAATGATGATTAGGATATATGGAGTAAGAACTCATAAAACAGTGTAGTTACCACCAAAATGTTGTTTTACATCCACGAATCAATTCTTAACATATTACTCAGTTTTATCCTTTAGCTGGAAGGGCTCAGAATGGACATGGCATTTTTTAAAACTGGCAGTCGGATGTCATAATAATAGCTGTAGTGTTCTTATTTCTTCCGCTGACATTTGTTCAGGGTGATTTTCCTTCTGAAATACATTTGCAACTAGTGTCCTGTCCACGTCAAAATAGAAATGAAAGGACTCGATTTGGAGTTGAATGTTAGTTTTACAGGTCACAAGTGTTCTTTAAATCCACTTATGTCAAATTTGTCATGAAGACATCTGCTTTGATTTTTCTGTCCTGCTGTTTTACACACACTTTCTGATGATTGGATTATGTTTGCAATTGATTATTATAATAATATATATTCACTTACACAGTAGTAACTTTCACTTGTAAAGCAAACCAAGTAACCTTACAAGCTCATAGGCCACATGTCTTATTTGAAGACTTAGGTCTACTACACCAATAATAGAAAATCAGCCAGTATATAGTTGCAAATGAATTTGGCACAAGATAGGTGAAAGAGTAAATAACAAGGAGAACTGGTAACAACTGGTGAGATAAATTTGCTTTGGTTTTCCTATGCAGTTTTGGGCACGCTCATCTGTAGAAACTGTGTGGATCACTCCCTCCTATTTAGTTTAATTTTGTTGGAGATGCCTTGTTATAATACTCCGTTTTTAAGTCCGAAAGTAGCAGAGTTTAATTTCTGGAAGATTGAACATTTTTAATCTAATTAAAAATGTGAAATTTGATGGCTTGTGATGTATATATGACACTAGAGAAGATGCTGACTCGTGTATAAATGATAAAATATATATTTAGTCATTAACCATCTTTAAATTGTTTCTTTGAAATATTGAGGGGAAAATAAATCAGAAGGCATCTGATTAACCAGACTGAGGATCTCATTTAGCATTACTTAACACAGTCTGTATTTTAATGTGGAAAAAGCTAGAAGATTCATGATTTGGAGATGAATGATTTAATGCATTTCAGTAAATGGTTTGTACTCTATTTTCAATCTATAAAGTAACAACTGAAATGATCTTTATCATTTTCACATCTTTAAAACTATTCAAGTTCAGGGCTATCAAGTCAGATTTTCTCTACTGTAGTATACAGGTGTTGGTTTTATAAAGGAAGAGTATGATTATGCAGTTTTCTTTCCAGAAAGGTGTTCCTCTTACTACAAGAGCAAAACCTTGTATATTCATATGTTACTAGATGCATAGATATATATGTAGTTTGGGTGTTTGCATACTGAACTTTCAAAATCCCCATATTCAGGGGTTTTGTCCTCTTAGTTGACAAGTTTATTGTTGGAATAACAAAACCTTTTTTAAAATTAGTGTTACCCCAAAAAAGCGCGTGCGCGCACACACACACACACACACACCCCCTTCTAGGTCTGTTGTTTTATTCTAATTGACCCAGACTTTTTAATTTCTATAGTAAATAGCTGAAGTATACACAGAGGGTTTAATGAGGGACAGGGCAAATGAGTGGTAGTGCATTCCAGTAATTCTGGCCTATGCTTTATGCATCTGATAACTTAGTAATCAAAGGTACATTTGCAATTTAAGCTGTTTTCCATACAAGGCTGTTCCTTGAATAGATTATTTCTTACTTGAACTTCTATAAAATGGGCCTTATTCATAATTACTGCTGTCAGTCTATTGTCATGCTAACAAATGTTATTAGGAGTAGCATGCCTATGGGAGACTTTCCTGGAGACTTGAGAAGAAGGTGGCTCTTCTCCAAATGGTCAATTCTGAAGCAGAGGAAAAAGTTTTATTTAATTTCTGTGTTCTTAGGTACTGTTAGATCAATTGCCAATGGAGGAATTTGGATTCAAACTACAGTGGGTTTTTTTCATGTACAGCCTGCACTCATCTCTAGATAACTCCAAAAAATGAGGCAGTTGGAACTGGGAAGGGTTTTGGGGAGGGAGTGAATTATAGTATCAGTTAAAAGTCAAGAGTTGGATCAAGGGGATTCTGGGGTGTGTCTGTATTGCCCTTAGCAAGAGCCCACACTGCATTAGTAACATGTGCAACCCTATTATTCGGTCACTTGTAAATTGCACATTTAAGTACAATAATTTGATTTTTTAGTACTGCAGTAAATCTGTGTTCATGTTTAGAACTTCCAGCTTGGTTTTACACAGTACTTGCTTTTTTATGTTTTGCCAGTTATCAGTCCTAGCATAAAGGACACAGCCAGCATAAAGATGAACCAATAACCAAACTGTATTTGATACAAAAGGGTCAGTATATGGGTGAGCGCTGGGGTTACAAACAAGTCAGTCAGATTATACATAATCAACATCAGTCCCACTGACCCCAACAACAACACCGCATGACCAACAATGGGTGGAATAAATGGTGAAATGCAGTCTCCCATAGAAGGGATGGGAGACAACCGAGTCGTCAAGCCAAACACACAAGACCAAGGAAGCCACATACTGAATCTCTACACAGCCCGTGTTTACAACAGCCAGACCTGACTGGAGCCCAGTCCCAGGGAGGCAGGAGGTCCTTCCCCAACAGGGAACTCTGCACAGGGCATCCCCCTCACAGACAGACACTGCCCCTGCCTGCAAGGGGTACCAGCTTTTATCCCTCAGTGGGACACTGACCTTGGGTTACTGACTGCAGACACCTGGGGCTCCTTTACCCAATGGCTCTGCCTGCCAGGCCAGCACCACCCTGGGGGGAAGCCTGAAGGGAAACTCACCCCCCCTTTGGGAAGGGCTGTGGCAATCACCCACATGTCAACATTAATTTGGGGCTTGGGGTTGAAACCCCAGCATTTCACTATGTCACCTGACTTTGCTTCTATCTGTTCTTGCCTTTCAATGTTAGAATCCCTTAATTCTGTTCTTCCTGTGGTTTTGGTTGTTTGGGGTTTTTTTTCCCTTAAAGGTAGAAGTTCCTTTCTCAGCTTATGTTATATTAGGCTTTTTCTCTTGCCTCGTGTGTGTTGGTTTTTGGTTTTTCTGTTTATTTTAAATATGTATGAATTTACCTTTGTGTAAGAAAAGGTATGAAGCAGAAAAGGGAATTTCTTAATTTACATTTGTAAATCATAGCATAAGAAGGTGGAAAGAAGATTTGGCAAGAAAGCCCTGGGATAAATTTTTTTTTATAATGATTTTGGCTGTCTGTATTTTGTTTTGATAGTGATTTGGAGTCGTGGAGAATTCACAGTGTTTCCACAATGGGAGAAAGGACAGATTGTACGAAGTCGCATAGTTCACTGGCTGAATACAGCCCTGTCAATAAATCAGACGGGACAGATCCAAGTGACAGCTGTGAAATGCAGGATGGAAACCAAAATACAATGCAACTGAAGAAAGAAATATCTTTGATAAATGGGATAAGCCTTATAGTAGGCAACATGATTGGTTCAGGTATCTTTGTCTCTCCCAAAGGAGTTCTCATCTACAGCAAATCCTATGGATTGTCTCTAATAATTTGGGCAATCGGAGGAATTTTTTCAGTCTTTGGAGCTCTCTGCTATGCTGAACTTGGAACCACTATTACGAAGTCAGGAGCCAGCTATGCATATATCTTGGAGTCTTTTGGGAGCTTCATTGCTTTTATTCGTTTGTGGACTTCACTGCTAATTGTTGAGCCAACTAGTCAGGCAATTATTGCCATCACTTTTGCAAACTACATAGTTCAACCTTTCTTCCCTTCTTGCGATCCTCCATATTTGGCTTGCCGTCTCATAGCAGCTGCTTGTGAATGTAAGTATTTCTTAAAATTTACTATAGTAATTTTTTATCCAGGGTTAAGTTTTATTAATACAACTCCTACCAGGTACCATAGTTCTTGCATACTGAATCTGCAATGGTTTGAGTTACACTGGGGAAAATAATAATTTCCAGCTCATTAATAACTTGCAGTTATTCAGTCCGTGAATTACCATTTTCTTATTCAGAAGCAGAACAAGGTATTTAACTTGTCCAGGTTTACTTGCATGGCAAAAACGGAGGAATAAATTTGTTCTCCTCGGAGAGGTATATTAAATCAAACCTCAAGGTACTTTTGGTGTGGCTGAAGACTTGTTTCAGAATAGCTCTTACGTTATAAATTCTGGTGTATTTTATTTTACAATAGCTTCTCAGTGTAGATGTGCTTAAGTAATTACGCTGGTAGGTTTTCAAAAGATCATTCAAGATTATTCTTTATGCTCATTAGCTGTAACATCAGTACAATAGTACCTGTTGTAAAGTCATTTTGAAAAGCAGAAATTTTGTGTGCACATGAAACGTTTAAATGTTTGTAATCAGATAACCAGCTTTGTTAGTATAGAGGAACAACTGTCCACATGTTTCAAATCAGGACTGTTCTGCTGGATCAAGAGAATGAAACTGTATGATTGTACTCTGTGTTTCTTATTTAATGTTAGGTATTTCCTATTAAGTGTTTATATACGTATTGTACATTTCCAGTAAATGGTGAAAAATGTATTTCAGAAGGTGTGTATGGCAATCATTCATCATGTACTATCAGTCACCATGTGCCATGGAGCCTGCCATCCCTATTGACATAAAGCTAATACAGAATTTGGGCTTTTTTACTGCCAACAGTATGCTACAGGGAGGAGATGTGCTGCTCATAGCTGGTTCCTTTTTGAGGCAACAGGTAGTCTGTTGAAATAGCTCTAGTGTTCCTTATTTCAGTTGTCTGTGTAGAACTAGGAGAGGGGAATGCCAGAGAGAACAGTAGTGTGTGCTCAAATATTTGACCTCTATAACTAGTTGTAAACATTATGTCTTCCTCTTCCATTTTTGTAAGTTAATTTGTTACTGTTGGGAAAGCACTCATGCTGGTCCAGGTCCAAGTAATGGGAAGAATAATCACAAACTTCTTCCAAAAAATCTGTCAGCTGCCTTAGTTCTGTTCCCTTTATCTCCCTCCTCCCTTCAAATTGAGTGTCCACATTTTATTGTGACAACTTCGGGAAAGAAATGAAGGACCTGTAATGCCATGTTCATGTTCCTTAGACAGATACTTCCCAAGGTATCCTGGCACAGATTCAGGAGTGTGGAGGAATCTGCTCTTCCATTTTAAGGTATCTCACCCCTGAGAGGAGTTAGCCCTCACAAAAAGCAGTTTATCAAAAAGCAAGAAATTAAGACAAAGTGATTCAATTAAAATTCTTAGATAGTAGATGTGGTAGGATAATGTGATGTCCTCTACACTTGCTGCTAAGAAGGGGAATTTCTAATAGCAACTTTTTCTTTAGTGGAGACATGTGACAGCAAAATCACTCTCATAGAGGTGGAACAACTTAATTTTAACGGTCCATTTTATGGTTTAAATGCTTTTCTACCCAGCTCTAGGTGTCAGTGCGGAGACTCTCACCCCTGCTCTATAGCTTCATTTAGCTGTTCCTGTTAAAGCCTACATTTACCCCTGGCCTGGCAAGGCTAATGATATGTGTCAAATCCTTAGCTCTGGATACAATTAATTACTTTATTAATGAAGTTGCTGGGGGTGGAAGTCTGAACATTGGTTAGGTACAGATTATATGTAAGAATGGGTGGATTTCTTGTTTTTTGTTGGTTTTTTTTAATTTAGTAATCTAGTGTCAGATCAGTCTTAGTGTTATACAGCATTATTTTTTCATTTTATGCAACATTACTTATTAATTTTTGCAATGGGGGTGGGATCTGGTGCTACAGAACTAAACTTGTCAGTTCTCAGGAACTTTAAGTAGCTAAATGATAATTAACTTGAAGAAAGTATGAGAGAATAATTTTAGTAAAAGAAAAAGGGAGGGGATGTGGCTTATTCAGCTTCTTGATTATTTTCCTTTTTTTTTTTTTTTCCTTATAAGATAGCAGAGACAGAGGAGTAGCATTTCATCTGAAGTAGAGACCAAGCCCTAACTCACTAAAATAGGGAGTTAATAATTACTCCCAATGAAAATTGCTAAAGATAAAAATAAAAAATTACCAAAATAAACCCTGGGAGCAAATACTCCATAGATAATACTGATCATTAATACTGAAGAGCAGAGACCAAGCAGAGTTGTTTTTTTCCTGCGGGCTCTTTGGGAGCTGCCTCAGTCCTGACTTTTGAAATTTGATACAACTATTTTTCTCCCCTCATCTTGCCAAGCTCAGTGGAATCTTGTTCAGCTATTCCACTTGGCCAGACTGCCTGGTATAATCATGCCGTGCTTTTGAGATCATTACCTTTCTTTTGTTATCTTTTAAAAATTATTACTTTTCTATTTGGTAACTGTGATAAGTGCATTTTTATCTTAGTAGTATCACATTTTTCTTGGATTATGGGAAGTAATTGATCACATCTTTTAATTTAATTTTGATTTGCTACTGCTTACTCCCTAAACAGTTACATTGAATTTTTATTTATATCCATATTTAAAATACATAGCGGAAGAAAATAGTTTGGGGATAAAAAGTATAGTAGAATATAACCACTTTTTTACTAGCTAGAGAAAAAAAATAGATTTGGGGCAAATGCTTAAGCTTCTGGGTTGGAATCAATAATGTAATGATAATCTGTATAAGAATCATGCATTGAATTAGTATTTTGTTCAGTAAAGAATACTGAAGATGCTGAATCCTATTCAGTAGTTGGCATCTGAGTTCAGGCAGAGGTTGTCTGGCTCTCCGCTTGAGCAAAAGGTAATAAATGCAAAAGCAGAATGTTGAGAGCCATGTGTATTTAAACAATAGTGTATTTAAACAATAGCTTGATAAGTGCTTGTTGGGGAAGTTGATCATATGAGTCAGTTTAATCAACCACTGTTCTAAACTATTTGTGAAATCTGAAAGTCTTATTTCAAGTTCCATTACAATCTTGTTCAATAGATCTAACACTAGTTTATTTTGGGATAGAGGGAGAAATATACTCAGGATATTAATTACTTACCACCAGTTCTTAAAAATCTCGATTAATGTTGCATTAGCTGTAAAGCATATGTTATTTGGTCAGGCCTGTTCTAACCTCATTTAGTAATACAGTTTAATACAGCTGGAAAAGAGTACTGAATCGCCTGTGACCATATTCACTATTGCAAATACTCCGTGGATGTAGAATTCGTCCTCAGCCTAACAAGGAAGGAAAAAAACCCTTTTCAAATACTGTTTTAATATGTTTGCAAAAAGGAATTTCTAGGTAGTCTTTTATTTATCAGAACAATATTGATACATTATAATGAATTATTTCATGTAATGGTTTTTTTTAGTCTCAGGATAGTTGCAGAGTGCAGTTGATAACGGGTAATGTTAGGAAAATGGGCATGAAATCAGAGAAGGGGAAGTTTTTCCTTCCATCTTTTGAAATAGTGTGATTAGAACATCTGTTTCCTACTGTTTTGTTTAAATCAGTGTGTTTTCAGTACCGGTATATTTTGCTTAGTTTAACCTAAGTATTAGTATCAGGTAAGTGCATATTTAGATTATAATTTAAAATGTTTGAAAAATAAATGAAACTGAATATTGTTCAAATAGTCTTTTCATTTTTCTTTTTTCTTTTTTTCTCCTAGGTCTTCTAACGTTTATAAATTGTGCCTATGTTAAATGGGGAACACGGGTGCAGGATATATTTACTTATGCTAAAGTTACTGCTCTTATTGTCATAATCATAACCGGACTTGTTAAAATATGCCAGGGTAAGCTTATAAAATTAAAGCAAAGGTTTGTATTTATCAGTTAAACTGAGTAACTGGTCTAAGGACTGTAAAAATACCTCTGTATGTGTAATCAAATGCCTCAGTACAAGCATAGTGCTACACTAGCCACTTTAAAAACACCAATACTACCAGTGTTGGGTATTATCATGATATTATATCATGAGAAGCTATCCTATCTCAGTTGACTTTGAACTGGGTAAAAGAAGGTAACTGATTGCTTGGCAATATTGTGCAATTTACAGCCCGCAGTATGGGATAATAAAGGAAATGAAAACAGCAAAATACAGAGCTAGCAAAATATGGAAGCAGAGAAAACTGTAAGTTTATATAAAAAAACATTACAATGAGATTAACTGAATTTTATTTTACAAAATTAATTTTATGTAAGTCTGAAAGTGACTGAACTTAAAGCAAAAATAGTTTTCTAAGAACATCTAAATAGATTTGTGAAACAGCAGCTCTTTTTGCTCAAATCCTGAGTTGTATTATAGCTATTAAGAATTAGAAAGTTGCTGGGGCTTTTGATTTTTATTTTTTTTTAATTTGTGTGTGTGTGTTGGGCATTGTGCCTACAAGTTAGAGGAATTCTGAACTTAGTTTTGTTCTTAGCCCTTCCTTTGGGGAGAATTTATTGGTGTGTTAGCTTAAAAAAATTAGCCTGCTTTCAAAGCTGCCATAAAGGTCTTTCCCTGGCAGTCTGGCTATTTGTGTCCTTTGCTCTAACCGGTTATTGTTGAAAGTCCATGAGCAAGGTAATTACTGTGAACAGAACAAGAATATGAATATGTGAGCACCATGCTGGAGTGCTTATTCTTCAGCACATCTGCTCATCCCTTCTTTTGTGGATACTGAGCTTGTTCACTATTAACTTCTTTGACATTGTCTCCCTTCTCTGTTTCTAATTTAGAAGTTATTCCACTGATGTCTGCCAGGAGAATAGCGATGTCTGATTAGGATATCAAGTAGGGAAGATAAATAAGTGAAGATACTTTAGAGGCCTCAAATATTTGCCTGGATAGTTTTGATGAAGTCTAAAGGTTTCAGGATGCATATAGTGCAGGGAGTATTTTGGAGTTACATACTAACTCACCTTTCTGTATTTGGTGGTTTTGTGTGTGTGTCTGTATCTGAGTATATAAAACTGCCACTGATGAGTTTGTCTGGACTTGTATCATCTTTTGACGTTAACAAGTTCTCGCAAATACTCTGCAAAAAACCACACTTTTTTCTTAGCTTGGGAAAATTTTATCTCAAGTAGAAATATTTTATGCTCTATTAATTGTTCTCAGTTTTCTATTTTTAATAGTTAAAATGTAAACATCCATTTAGGTGGGATTTTTTTGAGTCGTCATTATCTAAAATCAACAGTTACCTTTGTTTTCTGCATAGGCTAAATGTCTGAAAATTTAAAAGTATATGGAAGGATAGAGTGGATTATTTTATAAATATATATGTTATAAAAATTACCCTTAGCCTGCGTGCTGTCATTGTCGGTTGTTTGCAGTGTAGTCTGAGCTTAATGTTCCTGAACTTTTTGTGCCACTGTGGACAAACTAGGTGTTTAATTATAGAATAGTATCATCCACAGAGGATATTTTTTAGTAGTTTAAATGTCATGCCTATTCTCATGGCTGAAGCACCGAGTAAAATTGGAAAAAGGGCTTAATAAGCAGCTTTGAAGGAATTAGGGTTTCCAAGGTGTTTTTGTGTTTGTGTGCCAAATTGAAAAAAATTACTTGCTGTATTTTATTATCCTGTACTTCACTGCATCTCTTCCACACACAGGACATACATCGCATTTTGAGAACTCTTTTGAGGGATCCTCTTTTGATATTGGAGACATTTCCCTCGCACTCTATTCTGCCTTGTTCTCTTACTCTGGTTGGGATACACTCAATTTTGTAACAGAAGAGATCAAAAACCCAGAAAGGTAAACAATTTGAGCTTTCTAAACTTAGATTGTTCCTAAATTGCTTGTTTTGTGGCTGTCTTTCTCTAATGAGTCCTAAATTTAGGCAGAATTGAATAGAACTGCTCTATAATTAGATTGTAAGGCTGTGAACAGTCACTAGCAAAGATTTACTAGTTTTAAACTCCATTAAAAATGAAAGAAAAAAATAAAAGGTAAGAATAAATAAGTCTAAATGATTGCAGGATGCTGTACTCAGTGCTTGATTAGCTTTCAATTCAAGATGTTAATACTGTTTATTAATAGGTGTTAATATTGCAGTGAAACTGTTACATAAATATAGTTTATGCTGTGTTTATCTGTGCAATAATTTCATATTTAACAATGTTATCTTTTCCATGAATTTATGCTCTAAAAGTGTGACTGACTAATCTTGTTCAGTTGTGAGTCTATAAGCAGATGCCTTTATGTTAAAAATAGAATGCCATTTGATCATTTTTACTTCCTGTTATAAGCAACAGCTCAGATTGCTACAAATGAAAGATAAAGAATGGAAAAGATTTTTTTTTTTTTTTCAGTTCCCCCAACTGATTTTGACTTTTGCTGTTTGTTCTGTTGCCTCTGAGTTCTGTGGGCATTTATTTAGCCAGGAAGGTTATCTATTAAAAAGATAAAATAGCAGAAAATATTTTAAATCTAAAAATAACTAATTTTAAACAGACTGAATTTCAGGTTGACAGGGTTTCCTTAAATTGTCTTGGAAATACTTGTTATATGTATTCAGAAGAGATGTATGTTTTGTGTTTGCGTCAGTCATTTGATCATTCAAATAGGGTTTTTTTTCTGCTGAAAGAGCTCTCTTTTTGAGTGCTGTTGCAATGCCTTTTCATCTTTTAAAGATAGTGTATTGTTTTGTGTTATCAGTTGGATAACACTTGTATTAGTTTTATTGTTTTGAAAAAGAATTTTTCTCACAAAAAGTTCAGCTGATGAAAATTTCTTTAGATTCATTTGCCATTTATAGGCATCAGTCCTAATGCAAGCTTTGTTCTTGGTAACAATTGTAGCTGGAAAAGTGAACTTCAAATTCCCGCTTTCTACACTGACAGTTCTTGAGAATAATGAGATGTTTCAAACCTCTATAAAATTGTTCCCAGGGTTATGTCTTTTTCATCTTCACTTGATTCATAGTGCCCTCATGCTTGTCCAGTCAAAAGTTGCAGTCCTCAAGTTAAATTCGAAATAGTCCCCGGCTCCAATCTTGGATGATGCAAAGTTCTTAAAATGCTCTTTCAGCTTTTTGTTATATTATGTGACATTTCTGAATTAATATCTACGTGGCTTTCTAATCCTATTCTCTGCACTGAGGCTCACAGGTCTCATACTGTGAGCGTGCATCCTGGAAGCAGAGTCGTAACTCCCAACTACTAATTTACTGATTTATATGGGCTGTTGTGGTGTGTGTTTGTTTTTCTGCTTCCACAGCATCAAACAGACCCAGTTGGAGTTCTGGACCTCAGGAAACTTTTGAGGAAACTTCCAAATTGTATTTCTTTTTTCTGCTTTGTTGGGTTTTTGTTGATTTTTTGTTGTTGTTGTTTTTTGTTATTGAAAACCACGTTCATGACAAATGCTCATCCATGTCACCATGCCACGTTTGATTCCAAACTGGGCAAATGCGAGAGTAACACTCTCAGATCTCCTTTCCCTTTTGAGCCATTTGAATATGCTTGCAAGCTTTGGGGAAAGAATAAGGCTGAGAAAAGTTTGCTTCTGTTCCTGCAGAGTTTCTCCCTGTGGAGCTGCAGACACAGGGCTGTGAGTTTCTCAGCTTTATATTAAATATTATCTATTTACATCTAGAGTTTACAGTGTTTTCACATCACTCTAGACTCTTTTTTTTTTTTTGGTATAACTTTCTAGATACATGTTTGCTAGCAAGGTACACCACATCTTGAGGTTCACAGCTGTGTAGCAGTTTTGGATCTGCCCTCTGCATCTCTACTTTCTGCAGTGACACAGTCCAGTTAGTTTGTTCTCTGCAGTGAAGAGTGCAGGTGAGAAGATCAGGGGTTTGGTTTGGTTAGTGGATCTCCCTGCCTCAGAAGTAGGTGCTAGAATAACAGCAGCATTTCCCAGGGAGATTTAAGTGCAGTGACTCCGAGCTCTGCCCCTTTGGGTTCTAACACGGCCAGTAGGAAATAATTTAAAGCATGTAAATTTGCAGGCTGTTATGGATCTGGAAACCCTGAAGTTAGGGTACTTGAAGAGCAGTTGCACAGAATCCCTTTTTAGACATAATTTAAGTTTTTGCAAAAAAATATTATTTTTCCAGTATTCTGTATTAGAATTTCTAGTTTTAAAAGAAACCAAACTCTTCCAGAGATACCTATTTTGAAATCCTTATTCTGTCTTGATACCTTTTTATCTCTAAGGTAAAGGATGCAAATAAATAAGTTTATTCTGTAATTAATGGAAATCTTTTTTCCTGGGTTGTGGGTTTTGGGTTTTTTTTTGTCTTACAGGAACTTGCCACTGGCTATTGCAGTGTCTATGCCAATTGTGACTGTTATATATATTATGACCAATATAGCTTACTATACAGTGCTGGATGTTGAAGCTGTTCTTTCTAGTGATGCTGTGGCAGTGGTAAGTTGGCCATGTGACATTTCCCTATATTATTCACTTTTCACCTTTTAGGGATGCATTTCATTTTGAGAAACGAAACCAGGAAAAAAAAATCCCTAGTTTATTATAGTACTTCACAGAATACAGGAGGACAGAACAATTCATCATGAATAATTTAATCTTAAATAGAAAAGCAGTTAATGAAATCACATATAATAATAATATATTATCAGTTATTAAAACAAGCACAGATGCATCTTGTTAATGTTTTGCAAAGATGCTAATTAGACCTTCACTTTGAGCTAATTGTAACTTAGACTCATTGGTACATAACTGTCTTTTCCTTCATGCTGTAGTATGTGGAAAGCTGGAGCAGTATGCTGAACAGTGTTGCGCTGAGCTACATTCTGTTGAGCTAATAATTGGCGCAGTGCATATCTGTAAATGGATATGTTGCAGCTCAGCTATGACAAAGTTTAGCTTTGTATCTCCTTTTCAATAACTTAAATCACTGTCTTCCCAACTTTGTATAAATTCCAACAAATTTTAATATTTTGAAATTCATTATTTTTGTATATGGATGGGAGTTTGAATCCAATTAAAATATATAAGCTGCTTAAAGTAAAAGCTGGTCAAAACATGTTTAATACTTAAAGCTAATCATTAAACAGAAGTGAAGGGTTTGGGGTTTTTTTGCCCTGTAGCTAGTGAATTAATTGGAGTTCTGGTTACTATATCCTTTAGAGTTGAGACTTGGAATATTTAATCATCTTTTTTATTATTTAAATTGAAGGAATAGAAATAGCTTTCCTCCCCTTTAAATTCCCAATTGGCTTCTAAAATTTCAGCAGTTAGACAATGGACAGAAATTTTTAAATACATCAAAATGAAGGAGGTTTTCACTCTGTTCCCAGAGCTATGATTAAAAACTGGCTTAAAAAATCAGCAGACTCTTGTTTCAGGTATTTAAGCAGATGGTTCCACAAAAGCACTTGACTGACTTTCAGACTTGCAAAATATTTGTGTTTAATGTAAGCTTTCAAAATAGCTTATGGTAAATATGGGCTGTAGTTTCTTACATTTCAAATGTAATTGCGCAGATGTTTATTTCAAAATGCATTGGAAGTAAATAAACTCTAATTATTTGCCTTTTTTTAGTTGGAATATGGAAATACAAATTTGTCATAAAATATATTGTGAAAAACTTGGTAAAACACTTTGGAATGAAACAACACAAGGACAGAAAATACTTAATTTTGAATAAGCATATGCTAAGGGGTAAAAAAATCTCCAGGAATATTTATTTCTGTTGTAGGCTATAGTATCCCATATAAAGTACCTTCCAGTTACTGATAATGGAATTTTAAATTCTTGTCTAGTATTAACTAATCCAGACAAAACTAGAAGCCAATACACAGTCCACTGTCCATCCTGACTTCTGAAAAGGAACACACTATTGTTTTCTTTCAAGGACAGACTTGGAAAATACACTCGTTTGACAGCAATGAAATTCTCCAGTCCAGCCTATTCCCTAAAAGTTTTCTGTGCCTACTCTACTGCTCCTGTCCTGTGTCATCACAGAGGTTTATCCAGCCACTTGGTGAATGGGATCAGGGAAACTGATCCACCCTGGGAGACTGAGGGAATGATTCACTGTAGGCCTGTCCAATCTGTGTTGCTGTATACAGCAAATAGTAGCACTGCAGCAGGAATTGGTTGCCAGGGAAGGGAGGAATGATGGATGCCTGAACCTTGCTACACGTGTGAAACCCACACCTACATTTTTATTATTTTATATACCCTTCATTTAGTTGTTCTTTGACATTGTTCTTGACCACAAGTGAGTATATATTTATTTTTGTGTGTGTATACGTTTATGTATATATACATGCTGTGTAATTTTACATGAAATTGTAGTACTCAGAACTGGACAGATCAGGTCTTCCTGTCTGGTACAGGATGTATCTGGACATGGAGGAGAAAAAAACAAGACTTACGAATGATATAAAGTCCTTAGTCAATCTAATTGCATGCAGAGGTATGGGGTGACCAGGATAAGAATGAAAAAATGTATTTGTGATTTCCAAAGGTATTAGGAGATACACTTCTTGTGCTAGTTTTAATGGAATTTAACTGAATCAATGACTTCAGAAGTCTAGAACTGTGCTTTTTCTCTAGATCTCAGGATTGCCAAATACTTGCACTTAAAAGCTTAACTACAGTTCCATCTAAATGTGTTTTTGCTGAGACATCAGCTGGCAAACAATGGCCTTCTGATTGCTTCTACTTGTATCCCTTTTAGAATGATAAGGTCAAAGTGCAGCTGAAGTTAGTGACTCATTAAAGATTTCCTTTCTGTTGCTGATATGAATTTAATTGCCCAGTTTTATGAAACCAACTTTAAGCTTGATCTACTCATACATTAACAAGTAGTGTGGACCTCTGGAAGGTTGTAAAGTGTAACAGTTGACACTGAGGACCTGACATGCATACTATATATACTTCAGGGGTATTGTAATTTGGATTACCTCTGATAATGAGATCCTATGGACTGAATGCTTATGTGTGGTTGGATTGCAGTGGGGGAGTGCAGTAGGTGTGCTCTTAAGTTCATCTTCCAATTTAGTCTGTTGTAAAAGGGCAGCTCCCTTTAGCTCCAGTGCTGAACAATGTGAACCAAAAAGTAGTAAGTGGCAATAACTGGGAGAGTTGCTTCAAAAGTGCACTTGTGGTCGGAATTAAAACACTCAGAATGTGCCCATAGTTTTCTAGTAAATAGGTGGAAAATAAGACCTAATGACTGTAATGGTCTGTATTTGAAAACCCTCCTATAATACAGAAATGTAAAAATCTTCATGGTGAAATCTCTCTGGGTCGTGGAAGAGAATTTTATCCTCAGTGGAATGTTTAACACAACTTAGGGCATTGTGGTCAGTGGATGAATGAAGAGATAAGAATTAAGCCATGCAAAAAACTAATGCAATGAAAATTAGACATTTTGATCTGCTCACGTATTCTACATGTGATAAGTGATAATAGATTGTTGTAGTTTCCTTATTGCCCTCTATGTAGCTGTAGGGTGAAAATTACAATAATGCTTTTTTAAAGAAATATGTTAGTAATATTGCTGCACTTCTTTTGTGTAGTAAAGCAGCAGTTAAATTTAATCTTTCCTTGTTGCTATTTTGGGAGGGAATGGAGTAGCTTTCTCCTATTCATTTCAGCCAAGAGGCTTTGAGTGGGAAATGGGGGAGGAAAGCTATTTCCAGTTTCTAAATGATGACTAAAAGTTTTAAGTAAAAGAAATACTAGTAATAGTGTGTCTTTGCACATTGTTATGCACTTGCATACTGTTTTTCTTGGTGTCTGGGAGGTGAAAGAAGACTTACCAAGGGATGATATGGAACAAAACTAAAATGTCCTTTTACTTAGGTATTAGCTTCATTGTAGTATAGTCCCAGTGTTGGGGCTAAGAAACTAATTTTTTTAAGCTCTTTTTTTGTGGAAGTAATTTAAGTAATACAGCAACAGCTAAAAGTTCTGCAAATGCTCTTCAGATGGTTGCTGATCATGTGAAAATCGCTTCCTTTTTCAAAGATTCCTGTCAGTGTTTCACAGTCGACTTCTGTTTTACCTCCTTATGCAAACCATCACAACCCTTACTGTTTGATGTATATGAAACAGTTACTATGTAGAACAAACACACTTAAAATTTCTGCATTTATGTATTTATTTTATCTCTCTTTCCCCTACTGCTGAACAACTGTTTTTTTCATCTGAGAGTGCCATTGCGTTTTTTGTTTGTGAAGATAGCAGCTGGCTCCACAAGCACTTTTTGGGCTGGTTCATCTTCTAACAGGAAAGCACATACTGGCCGCCAGTGCATAGCCTGTTACCTGTTTCCTCTGTTTGGTCATGTCTGGAGTTTATTGATTGAGTTCATACAATAGGTGTTATTTAGCAGCTTGCTTCTTTTACTTGTAAAAGCTAAAAATGGTTCTGGGTTGAAGCAAACGGTTGTCTTGCATATCCAGCTGTCGTTTTTCTTGGAGCTGTACAGCTTTTTTTTTGGTAGACCGAGGATAAAGATGATAACTTCAGTTGCAACTTTGAATACTATCTTGCAAGTCCAGTATTTACCCTGGTTAACTCATATTCTAGAGCAGACTTGCTTTGCTTCGACATGCCCTCTTCCTTCATGAACCAAGAATGTGGGAGGCTGTGTGTTTTAGCTGTTTTATTCTTCTGTGATGTATAGTTCAACAAATGAGTCTTTTTCTTCTAACTGAATTCAACCACAAATTCTTAAGTTACTCTTAGACCTTTTGAGTATTTCACTTCTCTTCCTTCATTTGGCCAGTCACTGGCTTTTCTCAAGAGGAAAATCTGCTTTTCTTTGGCTGCTAGTATCATGTCCCACTTTGCTTGCACTGGTAATTCCCAGTAAGGTTCTTTTGGATGAAGTGCATATCCTGTACCTCATAATGGAAGAACTCTTCATCAGGGACAGGTATTTGCTTTTAGAAGAGAGCTGTTTAGGAAGTTGTTTGCCTTCTTTCTTGGAGCTAGCTGTAATTCATTACCAATGCAGCAGTGCCGTTGCCAGTTATGTCGAAGTTCTCTGGCTTTGAATGCCAAGCTGGCAAGCTAAGCCAGAACTTGAAAGAGTGCTACGTAATATTTTCAATATGAGAAAAGTAAAAGACTTTGGAAAACATTGAACCCTTATTCTACAGCTAGCTATTAAAAATGCGAAGAACAGGATAAACACTGGAGAAGATTTAGATCAAGTATCTTCAGCACCTCCACAAAGACACAAATGAAACTATTTTACTGTGTCAGATGGCATCTGTAATCTTAATACGGGCCATGCAGAAGAGACATGCCTCATGCAGTAGACATGCAATATATTAATGCAGTAGAGTAGTGCTGGTTTCTCTTCCCATAAGATTGTATAGAGTGACTTAAAGATGAAGAGAGAATTTTATGAGGGGCCTTGCACTGCACTAATCCCTTTTTCT